GTCCCTGGCCACGCCCCCGGCCCGGCCACGTGCCCGACCCGCCGCGCGGACCACGTGGGGCTAGTGTCAGGGCGATTAGGGATTGGCAGCTGCTACAGTCAGGCCTGAAAGCGGCCTTCTGTGAGGGTGTCCCCATTTGGGCTTAGAAAACGTGCGATCGGGTGCAGGAAGACGTGTCCCCGTGCCACCTCGAGCCTGGTCTGAGCCGGGCACAACCCTCCCCTGGGATCTCCGACTGCGGAGACCTCGGGTGCACGTCCGGGTGACGGACAAAATCTGTTTTCTGGAAGCGAAGCTGAGGGCCTCGCGGCTGCGGCTGTTGGCACACCGGGCGGGCGCCGGCCTGCCTTCATCTCGGCCACTCGTTAGCTGTGGTCATCGCCGGTTTTATTTGCTCAATTAGAGCAGTTTGCATGCCGGCGTGGGCAGGGCTCACAGAATTAGGATAGGCTCCTGTCACACGCGCTAGTATATTCCTGTTTTCATTTTCTGCATAGCACATAGTGAGTTTAATTTTTATTTACTTGCTTTGTTAGCTGACACACAGCAGGAACTCAATACCTATTGGGTAAACGGCTGAGTTAATCATAAGTGGCTAACCCTGGGGAAGGAGCCTGCTGTTAAATTTAACAAGGCAACGAATGAGCAGAGAGGTTACACGCTTGTGTTTGGAAGTCCAACGATGCCAGTGCCAGCTCCCCACTTGGCTTTATTACAGCAAATCCCTTATTCGGAGTCTGCTTCCTCCGCTGTGACACTAAGATAATGGATATCTATCCGGTAGAGTTCATGTAAGGGTTGGTGGGAACATGGAGATGGAAGTGCCCACCCTCCCCCTGCACACTCCCCCACCCTCACCCCCACAGGCATCAGCTTTGCCAGCCTAAACTTTGTCTCTTCCAAAGCTTCCCACGGTGGGCATTGGCATCACCATACCCAAATTCCTTTTAGTTTCTTTATTGGTTTTCGGCACAGTTAACTCTTTCTATGTTGACAAGGGTTTTTACTTGTTTTACATTTTGTCATTTCCGAGTCTCATGACATTAGCCACTAGAATACACAAAATTGGGCTCTCCACCCTGTACAGAGAGGAAAATAATAAACTCCATTGAAAGTTCACTTTGACCAAAGAAGAGACAACCTCCGATGGAAAACCACACACAGGAGGACCCAATATACATACATATATATATATAATGTATAGGTATTTATAGATATCTCATCTGAAAGAACACAGCAAAACAAGAGAAATCCAACTTGCAGCACTATCTACAGTAAGAGGGATTAATTCTACCAGCTTTTCAAACGGTCACATTCGATATTCAAAGGAAGCACGTGAGTGAATAGAACTGGGCACAGACTAACACTCCACCAGGCTCTAGAGAAGTCTAGCAATGGCTTAAGATTATTGGGGGTGTGTGTTGGGGGGAGGGGGTAATATGTGCAGAGGAAACATAGATATGGGTATCCTCCCAGCCTCAGAGCACAACCCCCCCCCCCCCCAACATACACACCCCGGCCCTCCGATTTTCATAGCTCTCTCCCCTTTCTTTTTACTCGTTTGGGGGTTTGTGGCAACTGACTCAGGCTCTGAGGCAAATGGCTTCTGGTTTCTGGGCCCAGAGATTCTACCTGATAAGGTGGTGGATGTACGGGGGGCGGGGGAGCCTCTCTCCTCTGCCTGGTCCTTGTTCACTGCAGGAACCTTCCCCTCCTGCCCCCGGATCTAGCAAAGCCCCAGCCCAAGCCACTCCACAGGCTGAGATGGGATGGGGCCGCGGGCGTCTTGACACCCTGGACCAGTTCTACAGAAACTCTCGCCTTGCTTAGGGAGGCCTGGGTGAAACGCCAGCATAACTCTACCAGGACTCTTCCTAGAAATACCATGTTTCTGGCGGCCTTGGCCACACTGTCCTGCATGGAACCTGGGGGGCCAAAGAGGGATCTATTGGGACTTTCAGCCACTGCCCCCTGGGGCCACATGCTGGCTCCCAAAGGCAGGCAGGGGTACACCCCGTCCTCACTGGCTATCCCAGCCTTTAACCTCAGCCCCAAGCCAGGTCCCTATGGAGGTGGAAGACCAGGAGACCACCTGCTTTGGGGCCTTGGTGCAGACATGGGGGGGCGGGTGTGTGAGCCGGAAGAGACAGTCTGTGGGGTTCCTGCCCTCAAGGTCCTTTCTTTTGTTTTCCTTGGACAGAGAAATCCCTTTCAGCCCCTGCCTGCCTGGCCCTGCAGTACCCGCAAGAGGCCTGTGGGAGCGCCCCCTGTGGCTACTGTTCAGATGATTGTCATATGTGCTATGAGACAGAATCAGATGTGCTTGGTGGGAGCTGGGGTGGTGGGGGTGAGGGTGGGGGGTCCCAGGGCTCCCTGCTGCCTCTCCTGGTTCTCATGCCAGTGCCTGAGCTGCACCCATCACCTCACCACTCCATCCCACCGTCAAACCTGCCTGCCCCAGGGGTCATCCCTTGCTCTTTCTTTAACCCAGGATATCATCCTGGATCCTGGCCACAGAGGGACTCAGCCTTCCCTTAGCTGGTCCCCCTCCCGCCCAGGTGCTGGGGACTCGGCAGAACCAGCCCAAGTTAGCCAGGTCAACAAGGTTAGTGAGGTGGGGCCTGGGGACCCCCTGGAGACTATTCTGCTGTAGCATCTGAGAGCCGTAACCCCCTTTCCTCCCTTTGCCCTCACAGAAAGAAACAAAACAGAAAAGGAGCCGGCGGGCGCGAGGGTGGCAGTGGGACCTCGACGCGGGTGGGGGCACGTGGGCATCTTCAGGGGACCAGGGCTTCAACAGGACACCTCCATGGTGTGGTTGACCTGGCCCAGCCCATCGCTGCTCTCCGAGTGGGTGCAGGCCTGCGGGCGGCTGCCCTCCACCGAGCTGGCACTGGTGAGGGACGCGGTCCGAGAGCGGGCGAGCCGGGTCATGCTGGCCGAGGGCACTGTGGACAGAGGTGGGGCCGGGCATGAGGGCCAGCTGGCAGGGCTGGGCACCACAGGAGGGAGAAGGATTCACGCAAGCAAAGCGGCCAGCGAGACATTCTTCCGA